ATGACCAAACATTTTATGTTTTTGTTTCACAAAAGCAGAATGAGCAGGGAACTTTGCCATTCGTTCACTGAACGTTGGCATACATGTAAGCATCATAAGTTTTAGGTGCCCCTACAAGCTCCTTGTTTGAAATTGTGGTCACCTGCAGGAAAAGCGTAGGTGCCTCTGTGACTGGGTGCCCATTAGGCAGCAGCCATACTGTGACACATGTTTATTTATAAAGGGGCAACAAATCAATGTTCTGCTTGTGTCTGTGCGTTTTCTTATTAGTACCAGCAGTAAAAGAGAAAATTGCTATTAGGTACCTGATCAACATATATTGCTCCCACAAGTGCAAAGAAAGTATCACAAACCACATCCTCCTTCCTGAAGTCAAGATGCTTCTCTTTATGCAAGTCATCTAGGTCATGCTAGAAAAAATAAGATATTTTTGCTATAAGGTTATTTTTCAGTTAAGTCTTAAAAAAAAGATATTTCTTCACTGCTTTGATTTTTTATTACTACATGGACATGAAGGCAGCAATTTCTCAACCAATCAGGAGACACCTCATTCCCAAAGGATGCATAGAGAAGATGATGTGATGTAGTAAGTAGGGATCATATTGATTTTTACCTCAAGTCTTATCATGTCGGGTAGAGAAATTTGTTGTGCTAATTTAACTATGTTACTTCGCCCTAAAAGAAAATCATGAAAGCACCTGCAAAAGAAAAGGAAAAAATTATACGATAATTGAAGCTTAACCAATTTTGTAAAAAAGCACAACAAGCAGAAAGGATGTATATATACTACTATGTTAAGTTATCTGATCTACATGGTAAGAGCTTACCTGACCCCTAAGCGGGGAAGGGAAGGGTAGGTGCTACAAAGGTGATCCACTATATACAATGACGACGCTGTCAACCCTAAAAATTAATGTAGAGCTAGAATTAAAAAAATTATCACAACTTAAAAAAATAAAAATTCCAATAAATTAAAATGCCTAAATAAAATGTTTTTACAAAAATATAACAATAATAATAATAACTAATAATAATAATAATAATATAGTAATAACAAGGAGGCAGTGTGGCTGAGTGGTCAGTGCGTCCGACGCGCAATCTGGCAGTCCCAGGTTCGAATCCTGCTCTGGCTACTTGCTGGATTTGTTCTAGGTCAACCTGTGTTCAAATCCTTGGCCACACTTGTAAACAGCCAACTGGTTGCCTCCCGTCAGTTACGTTGTATTTGAATTAGTTGTTTCTAAGTATTTCAGTGGAGTGCCTGTAAACTAGCTGGATAAGCTAAGTGCACTTTTCACTATAAACAAGCCTTAAACCTTTATTATTATTATTATTATTATTATTATTATTATTATTATTATTATTATTATTATTATTATTATTATTATTTATCAGGGCTAATGAAGCTGAAGTACACCCTATGTATTGAGACCATAGTAATTACAGCATAATGAAATACTGTTGAGAGGACTTCGGATTGTCTTACAGTAAAATGTACAATATAAAGGTAACACTCTCCTCTAGAAATTAAATAACAATAATTATAATACCACAACTTTGGCCCTTCAGTACCAGGAAATAAACTTTTATTAATGTGAAAATATTATTCAATGAAATTAATGTATAAACAGTTTAGCTTTGGAAGCAAACATTCTATTTTTCTGGCATAGTCATTAAAAATTTTTGCATCAAGAAGAACAATCATTAAGGCCAAGTTCTATAGCATTTTTATCAAAAACAACATTCTTTAATTCTTATTATTATGAGCATTATCTTGCCAATATTGCATTGAATATGGAGGCACGCTTTAATTCGGGAGATATTAATACAATTAAGAATTTAAAACTCGTATTGCAGAAGTGGCGCTTATGGTACATCGTAAATGTACAATGTTCAGTCAATGGATTGGAGAGCAGGAAGAAAAATTGAAATAGTGAAAGCAATAACATCAAGAGCTGTCTGGGTTGACACACCTCAAACCTCCACAATATCGAAAAAGCAAGGATTTGGAACATGAACCTTTTTTCCAACACTAATAATCTCTGTTGATAATGAGAAATAATGTATTGACGTTAATGAACACTTAGTTGCTGCATATGTTTCTCTATTATCTCGAATGATTGTCATTTGCATTTAGCTGAAAATTAATTGGCATCATTGAATGTCCCTCTCTATGTAAAAATCTTTATTGACCGTACAAAAATTAAGACGTTAGTTTACTTTTTTTGCAGTGATTACACATTTATGTTATCACCTGATATTTTGACGCTAATGAAAATTTATTTCCTGTTAATGAAGGGGTTAGTGTAATAATGAGAATAAAACAGAAGCTGTCATGGATGTAGGACAAGCTTGTGAGCAACAAAACTAACCTAACAATGACAACCTTGCATTATGTTCACTAATCTGAATTGACACTTCATTATCCCCACTATCATCATTAATTGTATCTGCCTTAAATGATGCATGAGTTAACGCAGTTAGGAGGGTGTTGTCATCATTAAATGTTAAGCCAAGTCTGCTCTTGAAGGAAAACAATTCTCTGTCGTAGTTTTGCCTGAAAAATTCCTTCTTGTCAAACACTCTATGAAAGGAAACAAATATCAAAGACAATCAGTTACCTTAGCCTTGTAAGAATACATAAAGAGTAAAATACATGTAGCTGAAAAACACTTACTTTGGCTCAGTGGCTTCCCTCTTTATTAGTTTTTGTCTAAGATTCCTTTCTCTCTTTCTTGTATTTCTGTTACTTCCTCTGTAGTATCTCACACCTTAAAGAAACCATAATTTTGTTTCGCTATTCATCAACCTCCCCCCCCCCCCCCCCCCCCCCACCCCCCCCCGCGCCGCCCACCCCCCCCCCCTCCCCCGGGTCGCTCCCTTTAACTTGCCCCAGGGCCCGACCCGGCCCAACACCCACCCCAGAAAGCACTCCCTTTTCTAAAACTACACCTACTAACATAAGCGACCACATACATACACACCAAACACACACATTTGTTTTGCCTTGTGGGCTTTCTCTTTTTTTAGTTTTTTTTTAAAATCCTTTCTCTTTTTTGTTGTATTTTTTTTATTATTCTTTACGTTCTCCCCCACCTAAAAACACCCAAATTTGTTTCCCTTTCTAATAACCCCCCCCCCCCCCCCCCGCCCCTTGTACCACGGTGGGGTTATGAATTTCGCGTAGGTCCGAGGGTTAACTATATAACATTGACTGAAGAGCCACCGCACTGCCAAGCCACTAAAATATATACTTTTCTTTTTAAAACGCTAACCTCAACTGATGAGCTGCAAGATACTGAGCCACCTAGACATGAAACTATATATCTTTACTTGCTCTTAAAATTTTATACTTTTACATCCTTTTATGTCTGTCAATATGTGTCTTATATCACGGTGGCTCTTCAGCTTAGGTAGTATAGTTTAGTGGCTCCACGATTTGATGGTTCCTCAGTCGGAACTTCCTTTTTCTCAAGGGTCCAAATACTATTGGCTTCTTTGAAGAAAAAATCCGAAGCTCTCTATTCGAAAACCTGCCATCTTTAGCGGGGTCCTACGCCCGGGGCAGGCTGATAACATACGCGTAAAGCTGGCTGGTTGGGCTAGGATTTAGTGCTTTTAGATAGTTCAAAGCACATACTCTTCTGAAGAATGATTCTTACATACAGACACGACATTTTGTGAACAAAAACAAAATGCAGTCTGGCTAAATTTTGCATGGCCTTTTTAATAGGGTACGCTGCAGGGTGCAAAAAGATATGAGCCCATACCTGAAACAACGCAAGAAACGTTCAAAAAGCCATTCTGAGTACATTCTTTCCACCTCCAGCAGCACTTTTGAAGCAATGACGAACACGCAGTAAGCTTGGTAAAGGAACATGCCGCCATCTTGCACACCGCTGATTTCCTTTATGGTACTTCATGTAACATGTATTTTCTTAGTTACTAGTTCCCTCTCGAACAATAGTAGCCATCTTGTTCTCTTCCTGCACTGCATGAAGTTTCACGAGTTATCATGTGGCTAACAACAGTGCTATGTAGGCGGTGGACACCTGGAAGGTTATTTGCAGGGTAAGAAAACCTAAAGCCATAAGATCGTGAAGTTTATGCAGAGTTCTGACAAGTCGTAATACCCCCATCTTCCTGTAGCTATATTAGCTGATTTTGTGAAGCCTGTCGAAGTTAGCAACATAGTGATGTTATTTTAAGCTTATCTGACATGAAAACATAAGAAAACCGTGATTTCTCGTGCGTATCGTTATGTACGAACGTCATTTTGGCTTTCATGGAAGAGGAAAAAAAATAGTGCTTTAAATGTGAATCAGGCCCGCCCAGGGGGGTATTGAGATACCAATATAGCAGATTTTATCCTCATCAGATACCAGGATACCTTAACAAAAATCTTTGATACTGATAACCTGGAAACGCAGACCGCTTTATGACAAACGCAGACTGCAGACTGGCAGGTAAACGAAGTAAACATTGTTGTAGAATGCTCTAAAAGATTCCCTATCCCAAAACTATACTTTTAAATGACTTAAACTTTAGGGACAGGGACTCTGTTAAAGCATTCCACAACAAGGTTTTCCTCATTTACATGCCAGTCTGCAAGTCTGCAGTCTGCGTTTGTCGCACACCGAGCACAAATGCATTTTGGGATGTTTCTTCTCTCCACCCGAAAAGTAACATCTGAGAACCAGAGCCGCCCAATGATTTCTGTGACTTAGGACATTATCAGCCAATCACAGTGTAGCTCATAAACACCAAGAACTAAGTTGTGAGAGTTCTTGCATGATTCATGCATGGTGGATATGTTTATAATTCAAACAACTAGATGGAGAGTGAACAAAAGTTAATTTGCCAGGATTGTGGAACCGCTTGATGAAATAAGCACCAAGCTGATTCATATTGAAGAAGAGATTAGAGGGATATTTTTATTTGCCTATGTATTGAATGATGTATCACACCTTACTGTTTTGATCATGTTCAAAACGATAAATGAACATCACAGGGAATCTTGCTTATAGTCTGGAAAATCCCGATCCGAAGGTTATTTGAAAAATCTTGTCAAAAACCTTGACACGCAAGCTCATGAGGTTGTAAGGAGTCACTGGAGCTTTACTTTTATCCTATATTCTGACTGGTCAACAACAAAGCAAAAGGTTTACGTCTCAAAAATCATTTAGCTGCTCTGGTACACAGACGTTACTTTTCAGGTGGAGAGAAGTGATGACCGGAAATAAGTCTGTGTTTGCAGGTCATGATACTGAATACCAGCACCTAAAATTGCCTTAACAAGGTACTGACCTATACCTGTATTGTGACACCAAAATACCGTATACCTGAATAAAAAAGATGCAAATACTCAAATACCCAAAACCTCTGGCCAGGCATGGTGACTGAAGGTTAATAAGTTAAAGGAATCAGTTTACTGCCAGCCATTACTAGCCATTACTACAAATTATGTATATGTATGCAGTCAACTCTATTATAGTGACCACTTCTGGTAAGCAATGGTCTCGCATAAGTGACCTCTTTGAAATGACTGTTTTGTTTCTCAGTCAAAGACTGTTTCAAAAACTCTCTTGTAATTTGTTAATGACTGCTACCACTTTTTTCAAACAGAAATTTGACATATTCTTTCATTTTCTGTTTCCCGCAAGCGACTACCTGGCATGATCATGTATGATGATCTTCGCATTCTCGCCTATGTGTATTTGTTGATAGGCTAGTTAAGAACATTTCATTTTTTCTTCATTGACTTATGGGAGACAAAGTGCAAGTGTTTCTTTAGTTCTCTTGTTACTTTTAGTTGTATTTAGTTGTATTTATTTCCTGTAAACATGACCCACCTAGATTAGCTTAGCTACCCATGAGCTTTTACGTTAAAACACAATAAAAAATCTATGTATGTATGTATGATTATGATAGTAAAAAAACCATCCCTTGAATGTCACAAAAGTTCCTGAGCAAGGTTGCTGACAGATTGTAGCAAATGGCTGTTACACAATCTATGGGTAAAATAGTGGATTGTGACATTAATGCAAAATTTTATGTACAAAGTTTCAACATTCCCAAGTGCTATTTGACGTATAAGATTATTGCCAGGTTTCTATTTGCCTGAGTTTTAGCTTGTAAGGTAATACCTTTATGTAATTACAGTGTATGTTGACCAGTTCAGTTTGAGCTTATTTTCTTGATTTTTCCTGTGGACAACCACCTTCCGTAAACGACCACTTTGTCGTACACCAAGGATGGTCACTTACAAGAGAGTTGATTGTATATTCAAACACTTCATATTGCAAAGATAGGATGCATTAATTCCTTTCTTCTATTTTAGTATAAACCATAAGTGATCTTGGTGGTTTAAGCAATCTGACTGGTTCACTATCTTGGGATAATTGTGACCAATATTCCCTCCCTTGTGAGTGGAGAATGTGTGATCTTGACAACAGAAACAAAATGGCTGGCATGAATTTGGTGTTTTTTGCCAACGTTTTAGAGTGAGAACTTTTGAAAATTTAAGATGATTACCTAGCATTGAAATCAATTTCAAAAGGTGTCAGTGACAAGAAAGAGTAATAACTGCGATATAATTCATAATTTTGTGTATTTTAAAAACAGGAGAAACAGGCTTGTTAGGCAAATTAATCCCGCTACTATGAGGAGAAAGAAAGCTCGACTGGAGAGAAGACTTTCATACATAGATAGTCTAACAGCAGTTCCTTTTCTAACACAGGTAAGAGACACTGTATACCCGGGGGAAGGTACTTTAGGACTTTTTGGGTGGGGATGTGCTGCTGGGACCCTGGAACTCTGAAACCCTGGAACCCTTATCCTATACAGAGCTAGTTTAAGTGAATTTTGCTACTCTGTACTAGACTAAACTCCCCAAATCCCTCCCCCCCCCCCATCCTAGAGTTGCTGTTTTCCAGAAACTAATGAGGTCACTAGCATAGTCCAGTCAAAACAAAACCGATTTGATTTTTTTATATTCTTGAGTGACAATTCCCGGTTTCCCTAATGTAGACTAAAATCTTCAGCCAATTGATCAGATGGAAAATGATATCTACATGTAGACCCAAACTCTCTGATTTATAAACCCTATCCCACAGTAAACTGCTTGAAAACCATACCCTTCATAGCGGAACATACCTATATAGCCCATATATGGCAGTACCCCCCGTACCCCTCTTCCCCCATCAGTACATAGTCTACAATAACACAAATTTGCTGCTCTCCACAAATTGGTGTGCAATTTGAGGGAAGATGAAAACAACATTCATCAACTCTGTGGTCTAAGAAAAATTAAAGGGAGCCCGTTGCTCTGAACCTGTTAAATCCAGGGTGGCCAGCATAGGATTTCTAAAAAAAGCTTAGTTTTCCTTGTTGCCCTAGAGCAGAAGTAAGTTGCCAGGAACTACTGGGCACAGCTAGAACACAGTCCTGAACGTCCAGATTGTCAAGTGTGTCTGATACATGTAATCCTATAAAATCCTCGTTTTTTTTTCGGCATTGCCCCATGAAATCTTGTACATGTAATTCTGCAAAGTGTCCTACGAAAACCTAGATCTCTTGTCGTGTTGCAAAATGTTTCACGAGTGAGTGTTTTCAACACATATTCTTCTCTCCACTGGCCATGTAATATCCTCTATTACTTAAAACAGCCAACAACCACTCGCCGAACTTGGCAGAATTGTTCAGCCTGATTTTTTTCAAAGTTTATCAGTGTTGTTTATAAATTTTAACGATAACACCGGGAGAAATATTTTGTTTTTCTGAAGCTCTAATGTTGTCATTTAGACGATAATTTTCTAGCTAACGGCGGGTTCTGTGGCGAGTAATGGTTAAAAGGTCATAAAAGTAAACAAAATGGACTAAACGTTTAATACGCATCCCTTTAATTTTTAAATTTCCGCGGGAATTGTGGATCATGCTAGAAGCTATATCAGTCTTTCAAAGGAGTGTTAAGGTCGTAGACGGTTAGAAAATAGAAAAAAAAGAGCAAAACAAGCAACCGACGACGGTAACAATTCTAACGCGCATCGTTTTCTTGACGTACGTCAAGGCATGTTTGGAAATCTAGAGAAACACTCCCACCGGTATTCGATGTATTGTTCAGTTAATAACTTCGTTTGATATATGATGGCTTTTCCACCTTTCACAGCCTCAAGAAGCGGGCCATTCCCAGGAAAGGAAAATAAAAGAGTGGAAAATGTTCAAAGAAGCTGTAAAAACCCACAAGGACAAGAAGATGGGTGCCATTCGTGCGTTTGAAACTCAGGAAAGCAAACCGAAAGGAATTTTGCAACATTTGGATGTCGCAAGAACTCAA